AAAAAAAAAAAAAAAAAGTCTGTACCGAGGACAAAGAAAGCCGTGAACCCTATCCCTATATTATTTAAATAAATGGAGAGTTGATATTAACTTTAGAAAAAAAAAAATAATCATTTTGTAAAGTTCCACCAACCTGTGAATTTTTGTAGTAAAACGACAATAATAAAAGGAAGATAAATGATGCCATTTTATTCCCAAGAAATAAGGGTAAAAGTAGGGTTTGGTATTTTTTGACCGAAATAAAAAATCGAATCTAACCGAACTGAATCGACGAGAAATCGACTCATTTAAAATGATAATCGATTATCGATTACCGATATGTTATCCGTTCGGTAGTGGTTCCGACACCATAAAGTTCGGTTTTACCGAACCGATAAGGATTAAAAAAATACTAATGTTAATAGTTAATAATTTAATACTAATAATTAATAAGAAATAACTTACTAATAATAATCTAAAATAATTAATAAGAAATAACTTAGTAATAATAATCCAATTATCCAACCGGTCAACCCTCTCAAACTCTCATCCATTAAACCCATTAAAAAAAAATCCGTCCTAGTTGCATTATTATTGGTAAATTTCCGATTGTAATCAGTACGGTAACAGTTTCATATTTATAGCTATAGCAATAATCAGTTCAATATCGATTTAGCCTTATCGGTTCAGTAACCAAACCGACACCAAGCCTAGGTAAAAGTTACCTTCATAACTCGAGGTGCGCGGAGTGGACCATAACCATTAGTAATTTGATATTCTCCTTGAAATTGGTTGCTTATTGTCAACACGAATACAGAGGGGTTGTCGTCCCCCCATTCACCTTCTCCTTCATAATCTGCGCTCACCAATTCCTCCGATTTCACCTGCAATCACATCTACTCTTCCAATTGAACTAATTCATTCAATTATAATATTTAATCAATGAAAATGACAACTAGTTTCATTTTTCCTAAAGAATCAATGTGTGACAACTCATAAGTGATATTCCAACAAGAACCTGGAAGTAAAAGCCATTAGAGGCTTTGATCCGGACGCGACTCGAATTTCGAGGATCCCTGTGAATTTCGAAAGGCTCCGCAGCGAAGCCAAGGCTATTTACACCATTAGCAACTACCACATTTGAGTTGCCTCTACGCTCAAATCCCACGAATTGCTTGTTGAAAACTCTAAAGTTGAACGTCGTCGCATTTATTCTCCATAACTATATTCATTTATTCAAAGAATAACAAAAAGATTAATCAGTGCACATAATAAGGTCGTCGTATAATGCTTACGATCATGATGGCGACGATAGTAAGAACGTACCGTGAATGTTTCCCAACCAGAGGCAGAAGTTCGGTTGGCGACTATAATGCTACCTCCTCCATTCTCCGCGCATAGATATTTCCCCACGGTAACTGATCTCAGCTGTAGATTCGTTCCATCCTTTTTTTTTTCACACGACAATAATCAAGAATATTCGTTATGATGATCACTTAGATCGATTAGTATATAAGTGAGTTAGTAAGTACCAATAAGTCTTTGTTGGGAATGCCGTCGAAAAGGGATGGTTTGATCCAACCTTCTGTAACGAGCCAGCCTCCGAGACTAACTGCTTTAATATTTCCTGCCTTTGCAACATCAATGTAGAGAACAAGAACGCAAAAAAGCAATAATAATTTCATAGCTAGTGTGTGTATGATTGGTTGATCTTGAATGATGAGGCTCTGCTAATATATAAGTGAAGATACAAATATAACCAAATTTATCTCTCGGAACTTAGGGGGTGTATTCAATTGATATTTTTGAGGACTTTTTAAAACTTTTTAAATTTGATGACTTTTGTGAACTTTGTAGAACTTTCATGACTTTGGTGAACTTTTTGAGACTTTCGGAGAATTTTCATTAGTGACTTTTTAAGACTTTCATAATGAAATTTTTAAAACTTATTGAGACTTTTATATACTTGTAGCTATAATATTATGTTTCAATAAAATATTAATAAATATGACATAATAACTAATATAAAAAGGAATAAATAAAAAAAGACGTTGTATATATTAATCCTCTAAAAATTTATGAATAAACTCATTTTTATGCGAAATGAGTTTTTCACGAACAAATTGTTTAGGATTTTAGATTTATGAAACGAGTAAATCAATCCGAGCTTCAACCAGTCGAACTCGAGTAGGACCTTATATTTGTTTGTTAAAAGAGCACAAACTCAAATATGTGTTAGACATCTCTGCTACAACGACATCTATAATCAACCCAAATTAAGATATATTTATCTAATAACTGATTGATTTTATTTTTTATATTATTTTGCGTAAATGTACTTATATTAGAAAAATATTATTAGGATATATTATTACAAGATACAAACATTGTCGAAAAACAGTAATTGTAGCTTATAAAGTTATCAATAATGTTCAAAATATTTCAATATCAATAAATAAACTATTTGAAAAAAAAAAATATTTTTTTAATAAACATTTACAAATAAAAAGAGAGAACAAATAAATTATTTGCAATTGCAACTATGTAAGCATTTAACCTTTGAATAGTCAAACTCACAAGATAGCAAAATGAGAAAATAAATGTATACACATAAAATAAGCATAATAAAGAATACATTAAATAAAAAGATCACATTAAATACGAAATGAAAATACAAATTACACAAGGTATCAAAATAAATAAGTAAAATAATATAGCATGAAACTGATATGAGATGCAAAGTCGTGTTAGAAAGAAAAAAAAAAAAGAGAGAGCGTGAAAAGAGTCATATAAGTCCAGCAAAATCTCACCAATTTTGATGAGATTTCTGTTGAGACTTTTCCTTTGTAATTTTGTAACAAAAGTCTCTAAAAGTCTCACAATTTAAAAAGTCTCATAAAGTTTTTCTGTTTTGAATACCAGGTAACTTATAGAGACTCTCAGAATGTTTTAATTGAATACCCTGAGACTTTTAGAGATTTATTAAAAGTCTTTAAAAATCTCAATTGAATACAGGTAAACTTTTCATAAGTCTCTAAAAGTTTTAATTGAATACACCAGAATTCTAAAAGTTTTAAAAAGTCTCTAAAAGTTGAAATTGAATACACCCCCCATTAATTGCTAGTTACCTAACATAAATAATTGACAAAAGTTATCTTTATGTTAATTAAATGGGTCAATGTTCCTTATCTTCATTATTATTTAAATTAAATGGAGACTTAGTATTAACTTTGAAAAATTATTATCATTTTATAAAGTTTCATTTTGTCATTATATATATTTATAAATATGTATATTAATTATGGTCATGGGGGTTTTCGACAAGGAAATCTTTTGCAATCCATAAACGAGAAAAAAGGATCATCATCATTTTTTTAATTCTAATGTCCCCCAAACTTTGAATTATTGTAGTAATTAAAACGGCAATAATAAAAGAAGACAAATGACGCCATGTGAAATATTTTTTTTAAGATTCTAATGTCCACCAAACTTTGAATTAATGTAGTAAAACGACGAAAAATAAAAGAAGACAAATGACAGCCATTTTTTTCGCAAGAAGTATGGGTAAAAGTTACCTTCATACCTTGAGGTGTGCGGAGTGGACCATAACCATTAGTATTTTATATTCTCGCAATTTGATATAACATATAAGAACAACTCGGTTAAACCGAACAAGACTAGTTCGGCCTATTGACCGGAGTTAGCTGGGATGATGAGTTTAGAAGACAGCTCATCCATATAAGTAGCTCGGACCTCGTGTGATAAAGTAGCTGAACTTGGTAATTGAGTAGCTAGACTATGGGTGGAGCTTGGAAGTGTTGGGAGCTCGTTACAGTAGTAGCTCGATGTAATAGTAGCTAGGCTGTGATAGGGCTTTGGAGTGTTTGGAGCTCGACACAGTAGGAGCTCCACGCAGTAGAGCTCGACACAGTAGGAGCTCCGCACAGCAGTAGCTCGTCGTAATGGTAGCTAGGTTGTCTGTGAGACTAGGAAATAGGAGAAGCTTGATGTAGCTCGATATAGTGTAGCAAGTGAGGTCCTATAAAGAAATGTCAGACCTGTGATGATGCTTTACAAGCTAGGAGCCGACCTGTGGAGGCGGTTAGGGAGGATGGTCCACGAGGGACACGTGTAGAACCAAGATAAAAAATAAATAAATGATCCAACGGAGAAAGAATAAAGCGTACTGAGGAAGCTAATAACTCCATATAAATAGGTAAAATGGAGAAGAATGTAAGGTTAATCACACTCTATACCAGAACATCTCATACATTTGTACACAGCTTTCTATAGCTCTTTATTGACTTGATCGTCGGAAGTTTAACGCTGGGAGCACCTCCCGGCGTCTTTGCAGGTCTCCGGGGAGCAAGCGGTCGAAGATCAGTGGAAGGTCGGTTCGAGGTATGAAGAGCACGTCACGATTGTTTAGTGCTTATTGTCAACATGAAAACAGAGGGGTTGTCGTCCCCCCATTCACCTTCTCCTTCATAATCTGCGCTCACCAATTCCTCCGATTTCACCTGCAATCACATCTACTCTTCCAATTGAACTAGTTCATTCAATTTGATATTTATATGGGCATGAAACATAATTTTCAAATAAGCATATACTATTACAATATCCGTGTACTACACGGGTGTTGAGTTAAAAAATATATGATAAAAGTTATTGCTAAAATAAAAATTTTATTTAAAAATTTTGATGGACTAATTGATGGAAATAAAAGAATAGACAATGCATAAAGTGATTTGTAAATTGTAATTTATGAGAGAAATATGGGAAAAATTATAAAATGTAAGATTTCTACTTGTCCAAACTAAGAAGGAAAATTGTAGTAAGAGAAAAAAAAAATTACAAAATTAAATGTACACTTACCAAGTTTAAAAAAAGTCATTTATGTCCAATATCAAGCCTAGTTTCAAAGCAAAAATGAATAAACAAACAAGATTACGAAGCATAGATTTTCACCATGTCAGCATCCGAAGCTTGTGAGTCTGTCACTTAGGCTCAACACGTTTTCGATTAATACATTGAGAGGGATTATTATAAAGTCATTATAAGAAAGAGCACTTGTAAAATTTGGTGTACAGACTTTCATTTTCTAAATTAATTTAATTTGATTTTAAACAAATAAAATCATTATAAGAAAGAGCACTTGAAAAATTTGGTGTACAAAATTTGGTGTTTTGAATTGAATGTCACGTTGGGGGTTGCTGGCTCCTAGGATTGGGGTATTGCCCTATGTACACTTCTATTTGCTTTTTATGAGTAAGTTTTATGCCGTTTGGAAAAAAATAAAAAATTGAATGTCGATTTAGAATGCCTTGGGTTAATAATTGCTCGTTTGTAGTATCCTTGTATTTTAATAATTGCTTGATTCGATCATGAATTTTCTTGCATACTTCTTTTCATATTTTGGAGGCTCGGTGATTGTTAAGTTGCGTTTGTAGCTAATCGTCCTTTTGATTCCCATAGTTGAATTCGATTAAATTGAACCCAAAAATTGCGTTTAGAATGTTTAAGATTTTTTTTTTAATTTTTTTTCCGACTAAATTGTAAAACTAGCTCTAAAGAGCCATCACTTGAGAACGACCAAATGTAGGTTGGTCCTTTCAGATCTTACCTGTTATCAAACAATTCAATTTATACTTTAAAAGCAATTTGGTCAGCAGAACCTTAATTACTAGTTTTTGGTGTCTTTATCCTAATCATATGATCTTTGTCTATTTATAGTCTCTCTCTTGAAAAAAA